CAGAGAACTGGTCGAAAATCCTGAAGAAATCGCCCAAAAAATCGCTGAAAATCGAAGTGAAAAAACCACCGAAAAACCCTAAGTCGGGGTTTTATAACTCCGACTTCGCCGAGCGAGACAGACTTCACTGTCTCGCCGTGCGAGACAGCATATACTGTCTCGCCCCGCGAGACAGCATTTACTGTCTCGCACAACGAGACAATATAAGTTGTCTCGTATCACGAGACGACAAGGATTGTTTTGATTATAATAGGCGATATCATGGTGTGTCGATACACATGGATACTCCAATAGGTACACGAGTCTAAACTATTTTTCCTACATTCGACAGGCAGTTTCTGGAGAATATTACTCTGAATATTCTTAAGGATAACCTGACGAACTCTCGAGGGACATGCAAGTATCAATTTGGTGACAAAAGTCAAAGAGATACCAGCTTCGATTCAAGATCTCGATAACGGTCAAACGATAAACGCAGTACCGGAAGAGTATTAGATATTCTACAAAGAACTGAATAGGCTAGAGGATAAAGAGATCAAGAGCCGAAGCCATTTTATGGATTATTCTACACGATCTACTCAACCAAGCATTGAAGGGATCGTAAGTGAAATCTATCTTATCCAAAGTATCCCAGACTCCTCTATAAAAGAATGGGTCTGGAATACTTTAGAGGGGGTATCTGTAGGCGTGAAAAAATACTGATAGATATCCAAACATAGAGAAGATCACCCAAAGTCACAAGAATGAACCTCATACTATCTTGAAAAAAATAAGACAAGTATAGACTGTCTCGCTAGCGAGACAGTGTTTGCTGTCTCGCCAGCGAGGCAGTGTTTGCTGTCTCGCAGCGAGGCAGTGTTTGCTGTCTCGCAGCGAGACAGTGTTTGTTGTCTCGCCAGCGAGGCAGTGTTTGCTGTCTCGCAAGCGAGGCAGTGTTTGCTGTCTCGCAGCGAGACAGTGTTTGCTGTCTCGCAGCGAGACCAGCGAGGCAGTGTTTGCTGTCTCGCAGCGAGACAGTGTTTGCTGTCTCGCAGCGAGACAGTGTTTGCTGTCTCGCCAGCGACACAGTGTTTGCTGTCTCGCCAGCGAGACAGCTTTGAAATGGTCAGAAACCATCTAAATAACTGCCACACACGTGTCCATTAACTGCCAAGGAACGTGGAAAACATCATGGGCAAAAATCACGTGAATAACTGCCAAAATAACGGAGTTTGAAACGTGGGAAGGCAGTTAATGCAAAAACTGCCTGGCGGTTGGATTTTCCGAGATAGTATTTACTGTCTCGGAGGCCGAGACAACAAACACTGTCTCGGCCGCAGAGACAGTAAACACTGTCTCGCAGCTTTAATTTGGTCATCTTGTTGTGTTTTTCAGTTACATGTCCCAGAGGCTATAAATATCCCCCTAGGGTCACTACTGACGAGGATCGAGCATTTTATCGAGCAATTGGAGCAAAGAGAATAGAGAGAACAGTGAAATTTGAACTCTTTGTGTGATTCCTTGAAATTCGAGCTTTGACTTGATCTTAAGAAGAACGATCGTCTTACTTTGATAAGATCTTCGTTTCAAATTCTCACTTCGATAAACGAAGGAAGAATCTCTAAACCCCTTCACGATCTCTGATTTGGTGGTCCACGAGCCAAAGCACTCCCGGCACAGGCAAAGTCCCATAAAACAAGAATCGATAAACGATTTTTTGTGTTATTTTCTCAAGAGTTGTAATTTTTACTTTGTTGTGTAAAAGAAGTCTTATAAAAAGACTATCTCTTTCGAATTTATTGTAATCGGTCGAAGATATAATGAATTCCATAACAAAATCAACTTTTGACGAAAACAGTACGGCTTACGCCAAAGGGTCAATCAAACCGTTCAAGAATACACCATGGAGTTCCAGCAGCAGACGTTGGTCCTCAACATTGTAACAGAAGAATATTTCGTGTTTATGAAGTATATGGCGAGATTGAGCGAGTACATCCGAAAGGAGATGAAGCTATTCACGGTGGAATCAATTACAGAGACGAGCGTGAAAGGCTATTGCCCTCGAGGGCAAGCAAAAGAAGGGCAACGAGGCTAAGGGAGACTCCAAACAGACGGGAGGCGAGTCTAGTGGTTCTCAATTTAAGGAGGAGAAGAAGAAGGGTGATCCAGGGAAGGCATGGCTGATTTGTAGTCACTGCGAGAAGACAGGGCACACAGCTGATCGGTGCTGGGAGAAGTATCCTCATCTCAAGCCAAGAGGGTTGAAGAAGAAGGAGGAGAAAAAGTCATACATGATAGCTCAAGGTCCGAAAGAAGTCCCGGGGATGACAGAGCCTAACAGCAGTCTCAACCTTATGATGGGAAAGCAGACCACGAAAGAGGACGACGACCCGAGAGAGCAACTCTTTGTTCTTAAGTTGTAAGTGAAAACCAGTTTGGTTGATGCCATTGTTGATTCGGGCACGAGAAGAATTTGATATCCGAGGCATTGGTTCAGAAGCTGGGTCTGAAGACGGTTAAGCATCTGAAGCCCTATCCATTGGGGTGGATTCAGAAGGAGGAGAAACTGAGTGTAGTTGATCAATGCATTGTCAGATTTGCGCTCCACGAGTCGTATATTGACGAGGTCACGTGCGATGTCATTCCATTGGATGTTTGTCAGATTATACTGGGCAATCCGTACTTATGGGATAGATATGCGATCTACGAGAGGCGGGCTCAAAAGTACACCTTCATAAGGATGGTGAAAAGTTTATTTTTCGTTCGGTATCTCTTCCGAGGGAGACAAGCTTGGGGACGGTGACGCGAGCGAAGAGACTAGTGAATGCAAGCAAGAAGTTTGTCTCGTTATGTATTAGACTTCCAGAAAAGCCATCGATAAAGGATTGCAACTTGAGGCAAAAGGTGATTAAGACGAGACACGGGATGGATGAGATGTTTCCGACCGGACGTCGAGATCAGGTTCATAGTAGGGTCAGATGGTGCAGAAAAGATGGAGGAGTTCGAGAGTTTCCTCAGTAAAAGTTCTAACTTGAACGGGACTTCAAGTTCCTAAAGAGAGGACTCATGATACGGGTGTATCTTCTCTTCGGGAGCTTAGCGATCCTCATGGGAGTTTGATGATAGATGATTCTCATGATAGTATGAGAATAGTGGTGTAAAACAGTACAGTGGAACACAGGTGGAAGCGTGGAAAGAGACGACGAGCAGCATATTCGAAGAATCCAGTTTTCAGCTCGTGAGTCGACTCATACATGTGCATGAGTCGACTTATCAGGTTGAGTCGACTCATGCCTGTCATGAGTCGACTCACACAGGCATGAGTCGACTCACGAAACCAAGCCCTGTTAGCAAAAGTTGCTGACCAGTCGACTCATCAGTTATGAGTCGACTCATATGAGGTCATGAGTCGACTCATAAACTCATCGAAGGTTTCCTAGTTCATTTGGGTTTATGTTCACGTGTTTTCCTGTTAGTTTTGGACTTGGTTATTTACCAGATTGTCATCCACGTTTGTACACCTATATAAAGGGTTGTTTAGGGTTTCTAAACATCAGATCTGAAAACCAGAGAGCGTGATCTATGAGATCTTAGATCAGAGAGAGATTATAATCTTTGTATTAGGGTTTAGTGGGATTGTGAGGGAGAGATTTGTAATAGTTAATTCTTTATAATCTAGAGAAGGTATTTTTCTTTGTCATACTGAATTGTTCTGTGTTTTAGTTATCTTCTTCTCAACCCACCTTTTGGTAATTCTGCGAGCAAAGGGTGCTCGCATGGCAACTCGTATCATACCATGAGATACCAGGATGTAGCTAATCCTTTTTAATATATATAGGAGTATTAGTAGATATAAATTCGAACTCAATAGATTGGGGGAGAGATTTGGAGAGTGGATAGAGCAGCTAGAAGCAATATGAACATGGTTTGATACCCATTTTTATGCATTTATTTGGAAATATATTGGATTCCACCACTAACAAACCCAGGGGATATGCCCTGTTGTTTCGTTTCTTCTGCTTCGTTTCTGACACGTCGACTCTTATCCTCTGTCTTACTCTTTAACTGCATTATTATTAAATAAAGGGATCGAGGAAAAAGGCGTAGTATGCGCGCGGATGGGTTCGATTTGGTGAAGGTTGGAAAGAAAAAGAGAACATAAGACGGTCATGGGCATGGGTGGAGATAGAGATGTACGGCAGCTGTTACGGAGATGAGTACAGGTCATTTGACGGTGGTAGAAACGGTATTTTGTCTCTTTATCGGGTGTATGTAAATTGAGTTAGTTGTCATGAACTTCTTTATAAATAATTCTAGTTATTAATTTGTACATTCCATTTATTACCTATAAATATACATAGTTCGATCATCTTCCTAAATTTTGTAACTTTGGCACGCGGGATGTTTTCACGGTTATTTTTGGGTTAGTTTTACAAAAAAAAAAAACCCTAAACCTCTGGGATGTGTTGTAGCCCATGAACCCTCTAAATTTTGCTTATCTTACATAACCCCTTTAAACTGTACCCCATCTACCTCCCCAACCCAAACCCAACCTGGCTTAATCGTCACCGCACGCGTCCCCCCCATCCTTAGTAGTCAAACAAACCACTAACACCCGACCCGTCGCCCCCCGCCCCAAAAACAAAGACAGGAAAGAAAAGGAAAAAAGTTTAGGGGGTTTTGTGAAATCAACCTGGCCTTAATTTTTCACTTTTTGAATTTCAAAGACTACTAGGGCCCACTTAACATTAGCTACATTCATATACTTATGGCGCCTAGGTTAGTGGGTGCTGCATAAGCATGCACTTGGTTGGTCTGGTGATATAAAACACGAGAGCAGCCAGAAGCGAGAAAAAAAATTAGGAGAACGAATAAGCAACAACATAAATTAAGAAGAGCAGGGTCGCAGCTAGCAGCACAATTTATAGAAAGAGGAGGATGAAGCGAGGATGGAGAAAGCGAGCGGATAATAATGGATGGTGCTGATCTGACAACGCCGACGCCCATGAGTACTAGTAGCCATGCAGAACGTCTCGAGGCCGAACTTTGGGTTTCCACTGGGAACAGCCCTGCTCCTCATCGTCGTGTTCTGTCTGAGTGGTATCTTCTCTTGCTTACCCACTGGGACAAGCCTCGCTCTCGTCCGCCCCCGCGCGCCGCCTTAATCTTCTCCCCGCTACTACTACGACATCATCATCATCATCCTCATCATATCAGCTGCTGCTGCTGCTCATACACTGATCCTCATCTGCCACATTCCATCACCCCGCAACGTCCAAGCTATTTGCTTCCAAATGATCAGGTAGGAGGAACTCCTTAATTAATAGTCCTTCTACTTACTTTTCCTACTCTAGCTACCTACTCTTTCCTTCTACTTACTTCCTAACTCTGAATTACTCTTTCCGCTTCATGCGTCTTCCTCTGCATCTCGCTGTCCTGTCCTGTGCCGTCCGTCGGCCCTGCGTGCGATTAACAAGGCTTAATTAGTTATCTAATCAAACTAATCAAACCTATGAGTACACGAGAACTTCATGTGCGGGCGACTATAATTTGCTTATTAATCTATTATAATCTTTTCCGTTACATCCCTCTAATTATTGTTCCTCCACGAAACCTCAGGTTTTCTCTCGCTTAATTGCTGTTCTCTCTCTCCTCTACATATATAGTTAATAAACACCTTGTAACATTGAAATCATAACACGTTCAATAAATTCCTTTAACAGTTCTTCAGATATAAAACAGTTTTTTTAAGATAATTAATTTTGTAGTAAAGGGTTCGAATTCTTTTTATAAAAAGTTTGTATAAAGTCAGTAATCGTGACATATTTTATTAATTTTAGTAAATACAATAAGATAACTCGATCTTCAATGATTTTATAAACCATAAAACTTATGAAACATTAATTTAAAATAAACAAAACATGTCATTTGTTCAAATAAATTGAGAAGAAAGAAGGATTAATTGGCTGATCTATAAATCAAAAGAAAAATGTAATATTGGATATAATGGTAAGAAGTAACTTACGCACAGTGTTTTTACTACTAAGAAACAATCTGATAATTTCTAAAAGAAAATGAATATAGAATAAAATTTATTACCAAAATAATTTAAAGGATCTTTTGCACTAATTAATATAGATACTTTGAGAAATTAAGAAGGAAGAGTAATTTGATAAATTTACGATAAATATTCATTACTACAAATTTTAAAATGAAATTCCTTAATTCACTAGGGAAATTTTGAAAAACAAGCGATTGGATGCGTTCAGAAAAAAAAAAGGCACTTTATATATTAAGTGCAAAACAACAAAGAGGTTTCCCAAAAATTTTGGGTTTCGAGTACCTAAATCCCATTTTATTTTTTCATTTAGTTATGTTAAGGATAATCTACTGCATGCGTTAAATTAATTATTAGTTATTACTAGCTAGATAATCCTTAATTGCTTCCAAAGAGCAGTCTTTATCCGGCCAGGAGCCATAACTCTTCTACTATTAGTTGCATCCAATTATATATACATCGATCATCCAATCATCTCAACAGGTTATTCTCACTTTATCTAACGTACGTATATCCAACGTCCCTGTGCTACTAATACACTCATTTCTTGTCCTTCTCTTATAAGTTGACAACATTTTTTATCTTCAAAACGTTGTCTACTGTATTTATACAAGTTTATTGTTTAATATATATATATATAATGTGGATTCCTGAAACTTTTTCTTATTCTTTTGTTTGGTTGGAAGACAAATTGTGGGAAGATTAGTGATAATGGATCGTATTACTAGAGTTATACTACTTTGATACTACTAGATGCAAAAACGGGATCCTTATGATCGAGTTGCATGCTAGCTATTGGACCCAACTTCTTTGTGCCTAAAGAGGACAAGAGTCATACAACTCTTGTAGCCGCGATTAATTTCCACACGGATCGATGGTTAAAACTACGTAGGGAGATACATATTTTTCTCTGTACAAATTGGAATTCATGCTTTGGTGGGGGTATATAGGGTGTGGGATGTTGTGTTTTAAGTATTGGAAAAAGTTGAAAACCTGAAGGTGGTAATTTTCTAAGAACCCCAAAACTTAAAAGGGGATTTTTGTGCTGTTTTAAGAGTTACGGGAGGTTATCCGAGAGAAACACTTAAAGATAGATCTCAATTCCAATTTATAAAACTAGCTAGGGTGTTTCTAATATGGATGGATTGACAGAGAGAAACATTCAAATGCTGTGAATTTCATTAATTTCAAGGTAGAAAAGTTTGAATAAGATCGAAGAAGAAATGACGAGGAAAGAGCGTATGCATGTATGCCAAGAGAGGGAGTTAGTTAGGGGTCACGGTTGTTATATTCATGGCTACGAATACGTATATATTCTACTCTGGATTTGTAATGTGTGGATTCGTCTCATTGTTCTAATGATTGACGTGATCGAGTCATGTAAATTCTGGTGCTTAATTATAATGCCCAATATTTTATTTCTTGTAGGGCGCAGAGAACAAAACCTACGAGAGCTTGCCTGTTATAATGCCAGGAGATCAGATTCCAAAATTCGTTGCCTGGCCTTGTCCTTGTCACTCCCACGCGATCTCTATCCAATGCTAATGCCCCAGTTATTAACACTAGAGATGGTGCTTTTTTCCTTCCATTAATTAATCGCATCCAACTCAACCTGTAGATTCCTACAGATTGTGATCTCTTCTTCTTAATTTTCTTTGATACTTGTAATTAAACATTTTCTAGCCTTCTCAAGTTTGTCCGAAGAAGTATTTAACCATTCACTTAACCGTATTGATTGTATTATCTTAGCTCTTAAACTCCTAGAAAAGCCATATTTGGTGGTCAAAGTCATTTTCCAGGAACTTTCCCATGAGATTTCATGGGAGTTTAATGCAAAATACCTGCCATCACATATGAAAGCAAGCGGTAACGATCCTCATCTTCTGCTTTTCTGATCACTTGAAATAGAAAACGAGTGATGATAGCTAGCTAGCTACAATCCTATAGCACTAGAGAAGGTGTATTTGTAAACAAAGTATTCTTTAATACTTCACATTTTGTTCAATAAATACTAACTATTTTCTGCTCCTGGTAGCATGATCAGGCATTTGATATAATTGTGCAAGGGCGATGCTCCATCAACTGCAATTCTTTAGTACTCTTGCTTTTTCTTCTAAAGATTCTGAAGCAAATATGGCCGGGCATCTAGAGGCTGTACTTTCAACAACAATCCTCTCTCTCTCTCTCTCGAGGGATGGATATAGTGGCCGAAATTAATTTCAACAAGAGTATGTTCTATTGAAAACTTTTCGCATGGGTTGCACGTGCGTACACATGGGAACCTGAATGTTAAGCTAGTTTTGACATAAAACTGTCAGTCCAAAACTCTGCTACTCAAAATTCTTCTTTTGAATTCGCGCTCGTTCAGATCAATTAATGCCCAAGCAGTTGAGATTGTTCTTCAAACCCATTAAAATTCCCAAGTAAACTACCGTGCCACTAAATCCACAACTGATCAAATGGGCTTCAAAATTACAGCTTGCGGCGTTCTAAACTCAAACATCAACCAGCGAACGAGTTGTACGCTCTTGTTTGAGGAAGGAACAGAGGAGCAATTAATCCAGGATGAACCCTTTGCTACAATTGAAGTTTTTATCCTTTCTTTATTGCAATGCAATCAGAGGAACAACATAGAGTGGAGTCGTACAGTGCTCCTACCTGCCAACGCATCAGGCAGTCACTATGTGACATTGTGTAACCAAGGCACTCACTACGTGACATGGTAACCAGTTATTAACCGATGCGTCTTGGTTTCAAAAATACTAAAAAGAAGAAGGAAAAGGGGCAAAACAATAAAAAAGGATAGTAATATTTATAAAATTTCGCACTCTCTACCCCTCCCGCTCTCTCCGCTTCTAACACATACAAACATAGAGATCCTCTGGCAGCCTAACAGACAACATTACATGAGCCGTAAGGTGGGCTGGTCTTAGAAACGGGCATTCTCTAACCCATGTAGATCACTGACCCGATTGAGGGATTTTCTCGTGATAGCCACCTTGGCGAGCTGTTCGGCAGCACGCCAGGCCGAAGTAGGGGTGAGTGGCTCTCCTCCTCCGCCTCTAGCCTCGCCTAGCAATGCCTGTTCGCTCCACCTCCTATGAGACGGTGATCTCCGCTGCTGCTGATGCTGCTCCTGCTGCACTCTTTGAAGATCCTGTAGCTCAGCCTCCAATCTGAGAACAAGTTTTTTCTGAGTGTTAGAAACGACAGCAGTTGTCGAGTGCTGGAGCAGAAGGGATCGGGCAGAAGAGAGCAAGTGGATAGCTGTATCCAAGTCACTCAGCTCCACAAGGCGTCTTGATTCTGCCACTGCACGGGTTGTTACAAACAGGTTCCTCAGCTGCTGTTGATCATCTCGGTTGGATTGTGCAGTCCTTGTTGATGAAGAGGATGAGAAAGAACGAAGCAATACAGGAGACTGGCTATTGGTTTGTCTCTGATTTTGGTCTTGGGACTGAAGGGGCGTTGGTATTGGCATGATCAGGGGCTTGCGGATCACATCTCGGGTAAGCGGATCCCTGTAGCTGCACATGATTGATATATTGGACATGGCATGACATTCAAGTAGTGCGGCCTTGGGCACCTTGAGCTCCACAAGCAGCTGCCTCACCTCATCTACGTACAGGTCCCCAAGGGAAACCGACTTCCCTCCTTCCCCATGGGAAAATGCCTGGCCGATGCTACCATCACATTCACTGGCACCACCATAGGAATATGAATAGACAGAAGATACGACACCAGATGTAGACGGTAAGGTGAACTGGAGATGGACATCTTGCAAGACCATGCCCACCAATCCGTTCATACGCTTGGCAAAGGCATTCTCTTCCTCCATGACTGGAAGCATACCGCTGTTAGGAGGGTTTGCCCTCTTTCTTTGCTGCTGCTGCTTCTGCTTCTGCAAGTCTTGAAAACTTGCAGAAGCATGGATTGGTATCTCAATGTGGGCAAACGGTGTGGCCGATGATGTCTGATTGTTCTGACTCCTATCTTCTAGGGGTGGTAGCATGCACGTTTTGCTGCTTCTGCTGATCATGCCCTTGACGTTGAACATCAGACAGGAGCATGATTGTGGCGATAGGATTGCGCTCCCTGCGGTCTTCAAGGACCTTGGTAGCCTTCCGAAGGGCATCACCCATGCAAGATGCGGAAGAGCAGTCACCCTGAGCCTGAGCCTGAGCCTGAGCCTGGGTGGTTCCACAGATAACAAGCCTATCGACAATTTGACGGGCGGATCGCTGGCCTGTTCGTGACATCCTACGCAAAGGGAAAAGTCTCTTGGCTGCAGCAACTGAGAAAGCCACGATAGATAAACGGTCTCCAGGACCCAAGGAGGAGATGACCAGGCGCATGGCTCTCTTCAGCATCTGAAGCTTGGTGGCTGTCATGTTTCCACTGACGTCAAGAACCGTCACCAGATCGATAGGGGGACGGCAAGAAGGATGATCCAACAGACTGTGAGGTATCATCACCGGCAATGTGGGTGCAGCAGCAGCAATAGACTGTGGTCGTGGGGTAAGAGGAGGTGCTTTGACCTTGATGGATACCACGTACGTCAGATGGTTGCGACTGGTAGAGACTAGAGCCAGAGAATCCTGTACCACGGTGAGTGCAGCCTTGATGCCATCGTCATCACCATCACCTTTATCACCATCTTCTGCTTCTAGTTCTTCGGGAATGGGATTGAATTGCAGTAACCCATCAGCAACCTGGCTAGTGGGAGAGGGTTGTAGGGATTCGTCATCGTCATAGATCTTGGGATTAATACTTGCACCACCACCACCACCACCGCTGCCGCCAAGGGATGTTCTTTCCCCATCCCGTCTGGTGCTGTGACGACCGCGATGTCGTCGAGCAGGGACAGATGCGCTGGGACGAGGAGCAGCGGGAGGAGAAGGAGAAGGAGAAGGAGAAGGGGGCTGGAGGGAGGAAGCGAGCAAAGGGGCGTCGTTCCAGGTAACGGAGCAGACAGGGCATACAAGGCATCCCTGAGTCCGAACACGGGAAGATATGCAGGGGAAATGGAAGGCATGGGAGCACTCCGCCGTAAACACCGCCCCCACGCTACTCCTCACGCCCTCCCCGCATATGCCGCATCTATTCTGCACCCATTAACAAACAAACAAACGATTCTATCTCCATCAAACTTCGAATCAAAATTAATCTGAGATTAACCAAAATAAGAAGAAGCGCCTCACAAGCTAAGATCTATTCAAGTACCACGGCTGCATTACAGCCAAAACAAAAAGCATCCTATTCCTATTCCTATTCTTATCCCCCCTTATCCGGCAGGAGCAAGAGGAAAGGGGCCGATCGTTGCAGCGCAAAGAAGAGAGAGGGAGAGCAGCTCGCTTACTTGACTAATTCATAATCACAATCTACAACAGCGGATAGCAGCGAGCTAAGCTAAGCTAAACTAAGGCAGCCAAATAGGGAAAATAATCCGTGGGACATATCACACACAAATAGGGAAAAGGGTAATAATAGAGGACGAGGGATGAGAGATGCGTGAGAGCGGGTACGCTTTCTACTCTCGAGAGACGAAGAGCTGTCATTGAAGAGCCAACATCTGGAAGGGGATCTGGGGGAGGAGGAGGCGAAATAGCCTCGGGCTGATCTCTGTAGAACCCCCTACTATTTGGCGACGATGACGCTTTGGGAGTTGCGGAAGTAGACGTAGCAGCAGCAGCATCTGACGCCAGCGCCGTGGTGGTCTTGCATTGTAGCCTCGGGCTTTCTGATCAAGGCCTGCTGGCGGCGGCGGCGACGGTGGAGGAGGCGTAGTCGTGCGGCATCTGGGGGTGGAGGTGGCAGAACGCAAACGAGGGGTGGACTGGTTGCTGCTAGGATTACTTCCTCCTCCTCCTCCTGATCCGGAGAATATACCTATGCCCAACTTCACAAAGCTCCTGCTGGTGCTTGGACTTTGCTGCTCCAACGTTGTTGTTGACGCTGATGCTGATGCTGATGTCGTTTCCGGATCTCGGCGGATCGACGTGCAGAACGCTCGCCGCCATCCTGTTCCCATCCCAACACCACGCCTTCCTTACTTTCTAAAAAAAAATCTCTTCTTTTCTCAAGGTCCCTCTCTTACCCTTTTCTTATCTCATAGGGGAAAGGAACGCTAAAAGGCAAGGAAAAAGGGTGTGCCAGCCGCTTTGTTTCCTTCTGGTCAGCGCCACAGGACAAAAGAAGGCGGATGTGAGATGGGGTTTGGATAAATTAGAGTCCGGTAGCTTACGGAATTTAATTAATCCATAAAACTTTTTATCTCCTAATATATGCAAATTATATACGAGAGAAATGGGTATGCTTGGTACCAACCATAAGTTTTTGTGCTTGGTAGCTGTTGATGCTCGGTATCAAACAGCCAATTAATCCAGAAGAGGATTGTTGCGGGGTGGTGGTGAAGGATGATGGTGGACCCGTTCCCTTCTCCAGCTTTACGCCTAGTTCTTGAATGAGGGTCTGATGTCCGTGCTGCACAGACAGAAATAACTCGTGAGAGGGCGGGGACCGGTTCCCCAATGGTTCCTCCGACGATCAAGTCAGTTGATAAACATGAGCTTGAGTGGAGTTTAGAACTATGTGTCCTTATGCTACGTGCATTAGAGATTATCATCTCTCAGATTGGATGGACTAGAAGAGTTAGATTGTTATTTGTTTCTTGCCTTGATTTCATGGGCTTTTTCCTCGGTTTTTATAGGTCCTCCCGTTCTGATGGTGAATAACATCTATATATAGCGTGAAGGTCCGTGGTAGAACGGTCATTTCGGCCATACAGAATGGCGGTGGCAAAGCGTGAGCTGGAAGATGAGTCATCCTTCTCTTTACAAGTGTCGGCTGACGACCGGAAGGGAAGTCATTTCAGCATGGGAGAATGTATCTCCGCATTATCCGTGAAGTGACTTGTGAGAATGTATTACTAATTATTAGCTAATAATTAGAAATAACATGAGTGTAAATTAGAACTAACGTGGTATAAATTATAACTAACATGACAGAAATTAGAA